TTGCAGCGATTACATAATCACTCTTTAACATCACACACACACAGTACTCTCGTTCTGTATTATATATTTTTGAAAATGTTTTATCTTTTCAAGACCAATTCATCATTTTAAATAAATTTACTTCATGAAAATTTGGTAATAGTAGTTTTGTTCAAAGAATAAACACTTAAGAAATACAATTAAAACGAGATAAAATCGACGATACGGTTAAAGATTAATTTTTAATCCGCACGGTGAGAAGAGGCGTTCATGTTTCGCGTGCATGTTCGGGAGACATCGGCCGCGCGAAGGTTTTCCATTCTTTTCCCAGAAAAGCCCGTGTAACCGCGCGGCAGCCAAGTGTCGAGAGCCGGAAGTCCAGTTCCGAGGCAGGCGTCGGTTGCGCTCACCTAATCTCGAAACGCTTGTCCCGGCTTAAACGAACCTTGGCCGCTAATACGCGAGTGATTAATTATTGTTACGCGTCGGTGTTACGATCTCCGCATCGGACCCTTAATGGAAATAACTAAGTATTGTTCGGGTGCATGCCTTCCGTACGGAAGCGATCCATCATGACCCGGATAATTAGTACAGCCGTGGTTGCGCGTATAATCATCACTCGGAATAATAATGGCGATCCGCCTCTCTTCCCTCTTGATGCGCCGAGAGGTGCGAAACGACGCGGCGCGGCGGGCACCATAAGCGACCCTCGTCGTGCAGTGAATCCGCGTAAACATGTGATGCCCACGTGTGGCGCTTATGCACACGTACGGGGCCGCTCGTGATACGGCGGTTAATTATTACTGACGCCTTGTACTATTTATCCATTAAATGATCGTTGTTGATACGTTATACAGATTGCTTTGTATTTCGGCATGTACGTATTTAACGAACTTTAGTTGGTGCCATTTTACGTTGAAGCTAATGCAATTTCTAATAACCAGGTGCATACTAAATCTTTAATCTACACGAAAGAAAAAGAAAGTCCACGAATTTCGTTATTATCACGTTTGCTTATTAGAAATCAGGAGGATCTTTTTTTAGCCATATTCTATAAGCAGACTTTCTCAGACGAAAAAATTATTTTGCATTAAAATAGTGTTATATTATGTATGTATTCGTGTTCTTAATTTTTCAAATGTCTGAAATAGACTCGAGTTCGCCTTTACATTTATACATACAATATTATTGCATACGTGAGATATAGTCGCTCATTATTAGCGATAGCAATTCGTTTTCAAATATGTCAAGTTTAAAGATATTTACACACCTTGTCAGAGATATTAATTACCCGGAAAGCGTCGTAAATATAAACATACTATCGTTCAAATAATGACGCGATGCGACAAGTTTCTTGCATCTGCTATGCGCGATATTCCGATTAGAAATCGTGAATCTTGGATCTAAGTAATGTTGATGAGCGATACTTAATTGGACAGCGCACTCTCTTCTAACGGTTCACTACTGTGATTAATTCTGATATAAGATTAATTTTGCATTTTTTCGCCCGTTCTTTCTAAAATGTTTCTACGTTCCGTTAATGAATGTATTCACAGTTATCTAACTCGTAAGTCCTGCAAATGATCTCTGATGTATGTTTTTCATGAATCACATTAATTTGAAGAGACAGAAACGAAAAAATTACGAAATTAAAAAGTAAATCCTAAAATGTCCTAAAACTAAATATTACTTTATAAATGTTTTAACAAAATGTAATTTACTCATTAATCGATAAATCGTTATTTTTATATTTAAATATTAAGTATTAAATAATACAATTGTAAAAAATTATATTTTTTCGTTCAAATTGTTAATTATGTTTAAAATAATTATTAATATTATTTTGTAATATCTGAGATAGAAATTCTGATGAATATTTGTTACCGTACTTCCAAATTTTGCCATATGAAAAAAATTTCGTGCATTAAGAACTAGAAACTAATTATTTCATGATTCGGTCGTCTCTGTAATACAGAATATACTTATTTCTGGTCTAGCGAAATCTTATTTACCGGACAGGGTTCGCGACGCAGTGCCACGAGACTTTGGAAAAATCAATCCCTCTCGCTGCGCAGAGCCAGTGTCGGTGCAATTCATTTGCATGGAAATTGCACCCCACGGAGACGGCTGCACTCCGGTATCGATTTTAAGTGGACCGCCTGTTCCGTCAGCCTCCTGTCTCGTCTTCTCCTGGACAGAAGCTACTCGAAGTCGCGCAAGCGCCACCGTAGAAACTTCTTCCATGGATTTCGCGAAAGCCCCGAATCCGATTCGACCAAGAACGTCACTGCCTTCCGCGGACTAGCGTGAATTCTTTTCGAGAAAGTCGAAATAACGACTGCGCGTGATTCGCTTGTATCGGAAAGATATTTATCTGATAATTTACATAAAACTAAATGCAAATAAAATTGTTTGTATTAAATCTTACATTTACGTAATCAAAGATTAAATTGAAGTTTTGCTGGTCAACAAAATCAGATTTGTGATCGAATCGCAATTTTTTAATATAAATGTTTCTTCTCGAGCTGCAAGTATTATCGTAAAATCGGGTTAAAAAAGACAAAAGTTATAAAGTCACGTTTTCTTCGAGGCGGGCTGTAAGATAGCGGCGAATTTAAAATTAGTCAGGAATCTACAGCAAATTTCGCTTTGTTGCCGGAGCGGGATTAGCGAAGGAGGGAGAGAAAGAGTGGTCTTCGCGTCGAGCGAATTACGAATTATACACGAGGCGGAAAGTAGCTACCGAACAAAAGTCGCTGTTTTAGGATCGCGGCCTTCGCCTGGTGTGTACTCGGGGAAGTGCGAGTGGATTAGCTATCCCTCGTGGCCAGTACATAAGGACAATAAGCCAAAAAGTTGGTAAGGCAGGCATGGCGGACGCCGTAACCCGTTATGAAGCTCAGGGGTGAAGTCAAGATTGTAATTAGCCGACGCTAAGTTTCGAGGTTTCCTCGGTATATTTGCATGCGATACGCTCTCTCTTCCCGCCACCTTCCCCTTCGCCTCCAACTACCGACTGCGTCTCTACGCTAACCGCCTACAGACAGCACGCGTTTACGCGATTTCGTCGGCGCAATGAGGGTATGTATGAGATAGAGGCGGGATGCACAGCACGTATCAAAATTTCGTATCGCATGCCTCGGCATCCTCTAACAATTCGCTCTCCCTCGGTGAGTCTTAACGGGCGAACGCGTCTTGCGCTTTTATATTCTTTTGATATTAACCTGAAGAACTCTCGCAAGTCGGGCCCGTGCGAAGATATTTTTTAAGTTCTCGCGGTGCGATCATGCATAATGAGTACGTGAAACACGAGTTCTTGAATATAAGTATCGTGACACGTGTCGACATATTAAATCCTCTCACCGCGGATTAATCGAATGATACGCATGCATGATTGCATTGCTCCACATTTTACCAAAACATCAACGTTCTACTTTTACTAACTTACCAACTGCGTATATAATACTATGTACTTGAATAGCACATGATTATGTATCTTCATATAATTACTTCAGAATTTACTGCAAATATTGTGACTTAAAAAGAAATGTTGTAATAAATATTGTAACTTATAGGCAAATAGAAAATGACTTCTCGCTGAAATGAGAAGCATCTAGCTTATCGACTACGCTGCCCGATATGGAATCAGCGCAGTCTTTCGAAACTTCAATTTTGCTAGTTGAGACGTCGATGGCGTCCACGTGAATTTAGATTTAATCCCTGGGTACCGGTATATACGAAGCGAGCGTTACAAGCCGAGCGTGTCGATGAATAAATAACGACTCAGCAAACCTCTTCGACAATCGAAGCACCCGTACGCCAGGATGGAAGTTTTATTGTCAACGATCGCGGGTATCGAAGTGAATGAGCCCGGAATAAAAGGAGTCATTCGACTCCCGGAGGGGTGGCGGGCGACGAGGGTCGGGCGAAGAAAGGTAGCGCGCCCTCTGTCTCTGTTAATGCATCGCCTCCGGAATGGCCGATTAATTCCAACTACGGGAAGGAAGCGACTATAACTCGTCTCCGAGGAAGCATTCTTAATCCGCGCACTCTTTATTCTCGGGCTTCGCTCTTGTTCCCCCCGTCCCGACCTACCTCCCCTGATCCCCATCGGGGAAGAAATCTCTTACCCTCGTCGCAGAGACCGCGTGCACGTTCCTCGGTGTTCCACGAACAGCCAGAACACTGTCACTGGCAATACACGTTGTTTCTTTCGAAGGAGGCCCCGTTATTTTATGACTATAGTTTTTATTAGGATTCTAGAAGTATAGGTTTTATCATGGTTTATTGCTTTATGATGCTATTGTTGATAATTATTTATTTAACAACGCTTGAATTCAAAATATCTCTTGTGTTGCGTTTCGAAGTTTTCGCCGATTTCAATGTAATTTAGTTTTTGTTGTCGATTTGAATATATTATTTTTGATCAAACATTATTGGCGGAACAAACATTTATTTTTGGTAATTTAGTGATTAGTTTTCACGAATTGACGCGGAGATAATACATGAATCGCCGCGCCGGGTCGAGTAATTTAAGTATCGAAAACCTATATGTTATATCCATAATTTACTAATAATATATGCATATTAGAAGATATATGTACTTGAAATATATTGTACACTATATTAAATTTTGAGTATATATTTTTGGATGATCCATCGTGACTTAATTCAAGTTCGTTAATTACATCGCATCGCAGAATATTAAAATAAAATTGCCACTTAGACAATTTTTGGTTATTGACGTTACGTGTATGGAGAGGATTGATTTTAGCCGAGTCGCAACAATAAATCTATATATATATAATTATTATTAATACCACATTTTAATATTTGCCAAATATAAATTTCGGCATTTGTATTTCGATGACTTATATTTTTCTCGTGAATAATCTATTTGTTATTTTATATTTGTTACTCTAACAAAACTAAACCTGTTTATAATTATATTATGCATGTAACAATTATCTTTAAAATATTAATTATTTTAGATACTAATTTGATTGTATTTGTATGTTGCAGATAACGTAATATCACAACTCTTATCACAACTCTGCTGCTGCGCATCGTATATCGGTGAGTGAGAAATTATTTTTAATTTTAATATGAGGTAATAAATCTCTAAGAATTAAAGATGTATATAAAAGAAAAATTGAAAATATTTTGTAATTACATATATTTTAACTAATGTAGTTAATAAGAAGATACGCTATTAAATCTTGATTGTATTTATTCCGGGATTTATTCTTATATTTTATCTCCGCGTCAATTTTAATCTTTTATAGTCTATCTATACATACTTTTTTATGGCCTTATTTTATGTCGTTTAAAAGAAAAACGACACCATGTGTAGGATAAGCAATATCGTATTTTATCGTAATAGTTAGAACAATGTTTTACATAAATTATCTCACGATTAATCATTTATATGTATATAAAAAAATATTTAATATATTAAAATTTAATGTATTATACTTCTAATCAGTATTTATACATATTGATAAATTACAACAATATTATTTAAACTGCCACTTCGGCAGAAAAATTGCTAATTCGAGATATTCGCATACGCTTTTCGCATATTCGGTTTCGCGCGGACTGGAAAGCATGGACGAAGTGAAGCTCGCCGAAACACGTACGGCAATTACAGTGGCCATCCCGGAAAATAGAGGGTCTCTATCCCACGATTGTTATCTACACGTGTTGTTTATTGATTGTCTCGTTGTCTCGAGGCAACCGGCAACGTACGTCGTAGGACCAAAAGCACGGCTGGCGGTAATTGCCACCGAGCGAAGAGGCGTAACAGAATGTACGTTGTGCGCGTGTTTTCGAAGAATTAAATTTCAGAAGGGATTAAATTTAAATGTATAGAGAATGGGGGGCAGGGTAAAAGGATTTCCGTCGTAAATATCGCGAATTCGGAATAGCTCGTATTTGTGCGCAAGTATACCAACTCCTTCTCGCGCGAATTATCAACGGGGTATTAACGTATTATTACTTATTAAACATAATCTCGTAAAAATGTATGCGAGACATGCGAGTACTCCAAACAATCTATCTAGAAGTGCCTAATCTTAAGTACAATCTATAAGGACATCTTTTATATACTTTTTGCATTACTTTGGATTTTTTTGTTACTGATATATCTATGATTGGGAGATTCTAGTATCTTTTATTATTAAAATCAATCCGCTAATTACTCGCGAAGCTATTACATATTTTGCAAATTATATACTTAATTTATCAACTTAGGTTAAAAAAGTAATATAAAATTTCCAAGACTGGAGGAAAGAGAAAGATAGACATCTAAATCACGCGTCCGTTATTCCGCGCGTCTGTTATTCGTCATATTTTCTAAAGCATCGACAGTTTCCATTAGATTATCGAGTTAAACTTCCAATAAAAAGCATGAATTACCGGGATCTTCCTATATAGCCGATGAAATTCCGGTGGAAGGTTCGAACCGATCTCGACGGGAGTTCCACATCCAATTTTCCTTGCATGATCCCGCGATGAACGGCGCGTATCGGGAGACTTCTGCCGGTATGGAGAGACTTCTCCTCTCCCCATACGAATCGACGAATGCAAGCATTGCTGCGAATTCCTTAGAGAAATCTTCGCGGCGTTATATCATCCGGCGTGCTGGCAACAAATTTGTTTCGCATTGTGCCACCTACCGCGCGAGAAATGCCCGAGATACATTCGTGTCCCTGCGCGTGCTTGCCGAGGGAAGAATGGGATATACAGCCGAAGAGAATGACTACCAAGTAGTTCGACAGATTCTTACGGTTTCCTCGTTCAAGAATTTCCTCCGACGTCAACAGAACGCCCATATCGGATGCGTAATCTCGCGGTTACGCTTCTAATCATAGCATGTGGAAATTAAAATAAAAACATGACTTGAATTAAAATTCTCCTTTTTCACTCTTTCTGTCTCGTTCCTCACGCGCCGGATAAATCATAATAACGTAACAGAAAAAAAGATATTTATTGCGTACATTATTACTGATACCAGTTCCATCATTCCATCGTTATTGCACACGATAAAGCTATGCAAGCGACTTTTCATATTTTAAATAAGAAATTTATTTGTTATTATATGTAATTATAATAGTTTAGTACACGCGCCAGAGTAGTCGTTCTCTTATCCGTGTTTCCCCTTTTTTCGTCGGTCAAGCAGAATTGGCAGCCGCCGATGTTCTTCGGGGTGAGTCATCGGCGCATTTCGCGCATTAATCGCCATTCCGTCGTCTATGGTCGATACCATATCCTCGCGACGACACGTCGTGGAAGCGATGCCTTAGTCGGCACCTATGCACACGCGGGTGCGCGAGAGAGAGCGCGAGATACCTGACTACGTGTACGCCGTTAACGGGCTGCCATTTTCGATAAGAGGCGTTGCAAGGACGACACTGATCGCGCGCGACGTGTAGGCAAGCTGCTCGTAAAGTGTTTAGTTGAGGGCAGGTGGGGAGGAGGGCTCGCCGGAATGGGGTGGATGAGTTAAACTACACGAGGTCTGACGGTAATAATTGAGTGCCGCTCTGTCTAGTTAGCACCTTGTACCGCCGGCTGACTCTCGTCACTTTATCGACTAAACGACAGCGATGCGTGACAAATCCATCTTGTCTTAACCGCCGACGCCGAGTCGATTATCGACGGGATCTCAAAACCGGCGCAGTCGACGCGAGATTAATACGTCGCATGCGGAAACGGTGGTGCCTATGCACCTCATGTCAACACAGACAATTTTACAGATTAAAAGGATATTAAATATATATACAGAGGAGAAAAAGAGAGAAAATCATTTAAATAATATAATTCATTTGTTTCTTACGACGATGGTTTCGAAATATCGCTATTTGTACATCGACAACATTCAATTTGAACTGTAGAAAAGTGATTATAGATATACAGTAGATTTGCAAGTGATGTTTAGAAAGTATTTAACAAATTGGCAATGCAACAAAAGGATGAAACTCCCGAGTATGAAACGTACAGATCAAACTGCGAAAACGATGAAATTCTGACTGAACGTTTGATTCGGGGTGTCTTAATTCCCCGCGAACTTCGCGCGACTCTCTCCGAAGTCGTATGTCGAATGTCTGAGTAATAAAGGCAACGCAAGTTCGATCGTTAACACGATCTAAAATTCTACTGGAGGGAGTCGCCAAAGTTGGTGAATTTACAACGTTTCTATGGAAAGTAGCCAATGTAAAAGATATTTGCGGGACTCCCCTTCGCGACTCGCCGCCTCGTGTCTCTCCAGGCGATATCTACCCCGGACTACCCTCGTCACATTCTTTTCTCATAAAAGTGTAGGAGCGTCTCTCCGCGCTCGCCGATTCGACGCGAATTTCAGCGTCACTGCGCGCCCGAGCGAGCTTGCTAATTACCGTCGGTATAACAACGCTTCGCCCGCTACGATAAAAAGTAATGATTCATTTCGTGCAACGCTCGTCGGTTTATCTGTTTCTGGCGTTGGCGGAGGAATCGTTCTTGCAACTAAACAGCAGCAGCGCGCCGTGCGGCAAGGAAGATTTACGTGACGCGGTGCCGGGAGAGAGAAGATATCAGACACAGGGAGGGAAGTGTCTGGCTCGTTTCTCCGTACACTTTTTCGGTATCCCTTACCTCCCCGTCTTCTTTCTCCCCCTCCTCGCACCCCCTTTCCTTCTGCCCCCTGACCGGCTCGCGAGAGATGGCGAACGCGGGATCGGGATCCTGCAGACGAGTTAACGCCGCCGGAGAACGCAAGAAAAGCCGGCGAACGAATGGTAGTCGGCCAAGATCCGCCGAGTTCGGCTCTCGAGTGAATAATTAAATTACGCGAGCGAGAGATCGCGCGACTGCCTGCAGTAAGAGGGGGCGGCCCCGGGGTGGGCTGAGGCCAGGTGGCGAGAAGGGCGAGGGAGCAGGCTCAAAGTTGAAATTTCACGCGCCATTGTTCGATCCCGCCGAAGGAATAGGAGTTAGAAGCATTTAGGGAGCGGCAAGCAGGCACGGGGCTGTGAATTACGGTCGAAGATACGGCGAGACGTGGCGTAGAGGCGAAGGGATGCCGTGGATCGGCGACGGTGGCGGCGGCGGCAGCGGCGGCGGAGGCGGCGGGGGACGATAGAAGAGGGAGGGCGGTCGGAGCTGAGACTTTAATTCCAGGCTACATCCACGGGGTAACGGAACCACGCTTCTTCGGCCTAAATGACTTCGATTTCGACTCCGCGCGGCGAAACGAGATTAATCGCGTCCCTTTTGTTCTTCTCACGATCGTGGCGTACGACGATCGACCTCGACGCACCGTATGATCTTGAACCGCGCGACAGATTTCATTTGCCTGAGTCGCAACGAACGTTTAACAATTACTGCATAATTTCGTCTGCTTCTTAGTCGCGCAGCTTTCGCGATGATTGCGCATTTTCGATGCGAGTTTCTCGTTACGTCGGAGCGCCGTGGATACGCATGGACCCCGAGCCGCCTGGACTCGACTACCCTTTTGGCAATGCAAATGCAATCCACCGTACGGTGGTGCGTACGCGACGAAGAAACGTCCGAGGTGAAAGACTGCGCGGAGCGGTCGGTGGCGCTGCGAGGGAGCAAAGAGTGGACGGAATGGAAAGGAGAAAGAAGAAGGAGAAGAAGGAGGTGGTGGAGGAGGGGGAAGAAGAGGGACCCGCATTCTCGGAGATTATCGTGCTCGCCATCAGCGTATCACGGCGTCAGAGGACAAGATTTATATGTAGAGTTTATTGTCGCTGAGTCCGCCCTACTGCGTTTTATGGATGTTTTTCGAAGGAGCGCTGCCGCCCGCGTGATCTATCGCGGCACCCTCGCTCTTCCACCCTCTCCTTCTCACTCTGTCACCGAGCTCTTTTCGCTCTCTCTCTCTTTCTCTATCCCTCTGTCGCTCTCCTTCCCTGTCGTTCTCTCCGTTCTTCTCGTTCCCTCCACCGCTCTGATTCGGTACACGAGGGTGGCGCTGAGGGAGACAGAGGGATTCCTAATGAACGCTACGACGGAATCTCTCTTTTCCTCTCTCTCTCTTTCTCTCACGTCTCCTCTCTCTCTCTTCCATCTCG